ACGATTAGCTTTAAAAAGTGTCAGGAGGTCGGAGGATCCCACTGGCAAGCAGACGGGAGCTGAAACAGATTTAGATTTGTTTTTTTGAAAAGAGTATGAGTGAATGGTGTTTGACGCAGATTGGACTATTTGAGGCTCCACAGGTACTGGCTGGTGTCAACGTTTTCCTCATATCTTTGTTTAAATTGGCTGCAATTAAGTTAATAGGACCGTGTGTGGAAACATCAGGTGCACGTTGCGTGTTTCTCTCCGATCTCAAAGAGGTGGAAAATTGGCCTCAATCACAGATGGCACATTTTCCGCCAATTTCCGTCACGCATGTCAGTGTCATTCCCTCTGACCGGCACAATCGCCTCTACCTGTTTGCAGTAATCTCCCGCCTCCGCATGAAAAACACATGGCAAATAGTTGAAGTTCCCGGACTGGAACTAATTGGCCAATCAAGTTGTATTTTCTAGCCGATTTTAAAAGCATTTGATCTGTGACGACGTTATGTTACAGCTGACTATTACTGCTATTTTACATTTCCTGTGATTTACTGACACAAGCTTTGAGACACACTACACACCCCAACCCTAGTAACAGCTAGATCTGAATAAATGGCCCCGTTCCTTTTGTCTGTGGTGACTTTAAAATTGTGGATTGGGCTTTTAAGGCCCATTTCCAGCCTTCAAAGTCACAGTCAGCACTATGTAGGATACATACCGCCCCAAACACGTCCCCTCTCTTCTCTTAGGATTCACAAAACAGGGTGGACACTTTTTTTCTGTCATTGTTTCAGACCCTGTCAGGCCAATGCAGTGCAACACATAATGTGTTCCTCTTGTTCGGCCTGTAATGGCTCACAGGCTGTATTTGGATTGGCTGTCAGTACGTCAGGTAATCACAATAAGGCTTACATTAAGCCGGCCAGGTCCACAGCTATTAGATGTCCAAATGGCTTTTCTCTGGCGCTGGCACGGAGCCTCGTTTCTTTAGAGCGTCCTGTTTGGTGCTCGCTTGCAAGTGGAGGGCAACGCGGCAGACAAAGACATCATTCTGCAAGACCTCGAAAAAAAGGACTCACGAAAGCACAAGTGGGTTTCATTCCCCTCCGGTTCTTATGGTTCCTTCTGTGAACTTCTTCACATGCTCAGGAACAATTTTCTGTGTCAGTGATACAGTATTAGAGTCAGAAGAAGTGAATTAAATAATGTTATGCCACTTTGCATCTCATCCAAAGTGAACAATTCAGTTCCTGTTTAATTTGTCCACTCAAACGCAACTGCAGTGTCAACACTCTTTCAGCTCGTAAATGTGTGTGTCCATCTCTCAGACTCTGAAACCTCAGTGCTGAAAATATTCCTGCAAAACTCAAGAGCCAAACATTTTTTCTTCCACCAGATCAAATTAATTATCTGGATCTGCACCAACTTGTACACACTTAAAAAACTCAACACGATAAACAAACTTTTTGCATCAAGATCCCTAAACTTTGTTCCTGACAACTTGAAAAACATTTGATTAAGATAAAAATATTAAAATTATTATCTACAGTATCAGTAGATCGTGGTATTTTTATTTAAATCAAACATATGAATACTTCATCTAACACATTCACATGAAGTATTGGAAAGGAAAAGAAGAAAAGGGAGAATGTAAAGTTGCCGTAATAAAACGTATTATCTTGAAAGATTTCTGAAAAGTTGATGAAATTAATCATAATTTGTTGTGTATGACATCGAGGTTTCCTGCTCACAATGAGGACGTCCTTTTATTTTAATGCAGCGACCTCTTAATGAAAAGTTCCCTCCACCCTGCATTTGTTGTACATTAGCACTGGCTGTTCCAAAAGACACATTTGAAACCCTATGAAAACACAACATGTAGCACTGAGTCACAATGACTTTCCCAGAGTGGGCGGATCGGTAGGTGGACACAGAGGATGGAGCACGACCAATATTGTGTGTCAGCCATTTAACGATGTCTAAACTGGGACGGAAACTGTCTCCAGTTATCTGCTGATTGAAGAATGTGTAAAGTGGTTGCACATTTTCTGGCGGATGCAAGAAAAATCCAGCTGAAGCACAAGCTTAGCTTCATCTGAGGATGTGACGGAAAAGGGACAGAGGCCGTTGTGGAGAAACAGAACATACTGAGAAGATCTGGCAGATATTTTTGAAAGGTCGCTCTCATCCCTTCGTTGTCTTTTATCGACCAAGACGTGGTTACCAACTTCATAACAAAGAGACCCCTGTCCGTGTGCAGCAGCTGCTCAGGAAGCCTCTGAGATCTTTAAAGATACTTACAGGATAACTTTCACCACGCATGGTTGCAATTTTAATAATCATTTCGCACTTTAGGCCAAATGAAGTCGATGGTCACCAAGGAGGAAAATGTCAGAAGTAATGTGGCAACTCTATCGACCCAGTTCTGAGGTCTTCCTCCTCTGAAACCTTCCTTCACTGCTCTGAGTCTCTTTATTGCACAGAAATCCACAGCTTAGTTTAAATCAATATGGCTGCTTCAACAGAACATTTTAAAGGAGCTGACATATGATGCATATCATCTCACACTTTTCTCCAAACTGTAATCAGTCACGCCCAATTTCCTCCAGTTTGTCAGGCTGTTGTTTTGTTTGCTCCCCTCGTGGCCTCCCCACAGCACAAACAGTCCATTGTTGTGTTAATTAAAATGTCATGTAAAAACCATGCACATGCAAACACACACTTTTTGGTGTACCTTTCCGAAAGAAGCTCAGACCCACAAGGAGAAGACACTGAAGTCTCTGATGTCACAGTTTCAAAGGAGACACATTCAGCTCATTTTTAGGTTTGTAATTTTAGTTTGTGTTATTACTTGAAAATGTTTTCAGGCTTTAATGTAACATCACTTTCCTCGGACTGTTCTTTGCTGCTGCTCCTATTTTCAGCCTCTGTCTGAAACACTTGTTTTTTAAAATTGTCGACCCCAGTGAACTGGCAGAAGAGGAGACCACAAATTCGCCCTGTAACACATTATAGCAAAGGTCTTTTGCATATTTCAAAGTTCAGTTCTAGCATAAAATCTAGTTTAATCAAGAAGAAGAATATTCTAACACCACTTCTTCCAAATCACAACCTCTGACATCAAAACAAAATACAGCCACAATCACTATTAACAAATGAGCCTAAGTCTCTGTTTACTAACAGCTTGATTTGACCGCAGCGCTGGTTATGATCAGAAGATTTGGCGGCTACAGACGGTCCTCAACCCTCAAGTTCCACAACCAATCAAGCAGCAGTGGACCAGGGACGCTGGAAAGACGACGTAGAGTAAACAGAAATACTGGAATTCAGCACAGAGGCCGAATGAATGAATGAATGAAACACACACTTGGACACACCCTTGTGCTATCTGAAGGCTCACAGGAAGCAGTGTTATCTCCCAACCCGGATTTTAGCAGCGTCTCTCTGGGGATGACTCTAAGTGTGTTATAGAAGGAAGGAAGGTTTTGATGAGGAGCTCTCAGGAGGCAGCTATGGACGACCAGGACCCGGACGCCTGGTCGGACACGTGATCAGCCCAGTACATCCTTTCTCAGATCTCCAGTCTAAAGAATTATCGATTCATACTTTTCCTTTCCTCTGTGACTGTTAAATCAAACCATGCTTCTGTGGGGATGATGTTTTCCTCTAATGAGCGGGGGCAGGTCACAATATGGGAGAACCGGAGATGCAAAATTACTACCATTCTCTTCCTGCCTCGTGCAGAATGCTGGTATTAGTCTTTAAAAGTGGCCTGTGTGTGCAGACACGCACACACGCACAGAGTATGTGTCAAAAGCCAGAAGTGAGCCGAGTAAAATGAAACAAGGTGCGGAGTTGGAGAGAAGGTGAGCTGGGTTAGTATTACTGTAAGGCTCTGGAATTAATAGCTGTGTAAAGGTGTGTGTGTGTGTGTCTGTGTGTGTGTAGTTGTGTTTTACATGTCTGCAGATGTGATTCTTTGACGCACAAAAAACTCCATTCTCTCCTCTCTACACCCCCCCTCCCCCTCCCCCTCCACTCATGTGTCTCTGTACATGTGGTGAATTGATGGAAATCATATGAAGTTCACTGAGTTAAAAGGATTGAACATGGTTTTAATGTGGAAGATAATTCCTGTCGCTATTCTAACAAGCTCTTTTTTGAACAATGTCTTTATTGATTTTTCATCATGCAGACAACAGCACCATGTAGAAGAATAGAATTTATTTATGAAAGTGAGGTTACAAGTTTAACTTATTGTTGTGAAGATCGCTTACTCAATGAGAAGGAAGATTCAGTATATACATACAATTAAGGTGGTAAATGGTGTATATTTATACAGTATTTATATATACACATACTTTACACTGTAGTTTTTCTCATTCACTCATTCGCAGCACTTTATATCATGTGGTGTATAAAGAAATACCATAAACGTCCCTTATTTACATTCCCTGATTGCATTAGTGTGTTTTTCAGTATCACACCCAGAGGCTGAATGGACACTGCTTCACTTTGCAGGGGACTGGTGTTGCTTTTGGATGTTCATCATATTTAGCTCATTATCTAAGTAAATAAAATACTCTCCCTGATTGCATCACCGTGCCAACAGCAACACCTCATCCCACATAACAAGTTGTGGGATTATAACCAGTAAAGTGTGTGTAACTTATTATTTCTTATTGATGCCCGTTTTTTGACTGTTGTTGCTGTAACATTGCAAATTCCCCAATCGTGGGATTAAGAGAGGATTATCTCATTAAATCTTAAACCAGGTGGGATGAACACAAAGTTCTCTGCCTTCTCTCTGCACCATAGATTGTTCATTAGAATATCTGCACAGAAACATTACAAAGTGACAGTTCATTGTTTGAGGAGGACTCACTCATGACAAGTAGACTCCAGAGAACAGTCCAATCCAAACAGGCAGGTTCAGAACAGGCACTGCACTGGTTCATTAAATGCATCTAAATCTGAATGGCCCCCCAGACAGTTCCTGTAATGAACACGTGGTGGCGACACGTGGCTAATGAGAGCCATGTGGCTCCTGTGGAAACAAGTCTCTCCTCAGTGGAAGTGAAGGATTGAGAGTGAGAGAGAGGGAGAGAGAGAGGGACGAGGGGGGAAAGTGAGCTGGGCTCCAGTGAGGAGGGAAGAGACAAACCAGGACAGACGGAGACAACTTTTCCTCTCCACACTCTCGCAGTGTTTTCTACACGGAGCGCGTCTTTTTATTTTGGTGCGCGTTTAAAAAAGAGCGCACAAGTTCTCCTGCTCAGAGTCGTAGGATTTTTTTTTTTTTTTAATCTTGGAGGAGCTCGACAACTTCAGCAGTGAGATCTGTGGATGTGAAGAACGGGTGGAGGTTTTAACACACAGCCGGAGGAATGTATCCCACTCGGGCAGCGGCGTGCCAGCGTCTGTGGAGATGTCCAGGCTGCGCTCTCTGGATCGCCCTGCTCCTCCACTGCGTCCTGGACCCGAGCGCGTCTGGTGAGTCTCAGCTCTTCTTTTCCTCTTCCCTCCACCTCCGAATCCATTCCCTCCTTCCCTCTGCTTCCCTCCACCCGTTCTGCCCTTCATCTCCTCGTGCGTAAATCCACCGTGGGGACTTTTACGCACCTTAAAGAAAGTTTGAGTCATACATCACCATGCTCATGTAGGATCTGTGTTTAAAGGGCAACCTTCTATTTGTTTTTAAGCTGCTGAAAGCGTCTCATAATTGTCCTCCATCGATATAAAGCGGAGCTGTTTGCCATCAGTCAGAGTCCTCTCTCATGTTAATGCTCTTTGGTTTTTAGATTAACGTCCTATTGTCATTCTGAGACCTCTGCACGAGGAGAGACTCGAGTCCATTGGCAGGCAATGGGGGGGCTCTTAGGCAGTCAGCTGGATATCTATTGTGGCCCCCTCCACATTTAAAGATAAGGGATCCATAAGGGCCCTGAATAGGTTTTGGCTTCTTTAGTGCCTATTTGAGCCAATAAGAGGAGAATTAAGATGTGTGGCCTCTAAGAAAGAGTAATCCACTGCCTTACTACTTCCACACATCCTCACTTTATTATCTGAAGTTTGTCTTCTCCTCATTTCTACAATCTCCTGAACTACATCCCCCCTTACATGCCCTGAGTGTTTGCCTCCACATCTGAGGGAGAGAGTGGCCATGAGAGGGAATGTAACTCTGCTTTTTGGTTGACTAACACAAGTATGATTGAATCCAGTTTGAATGAAATGTGAGTTGTTTATGGAGAAACGTTTTCTCCCCTCGTCCTGTGGCTTCTGAGCGTTTAGCGAGAATAAAACAGTCCCCTTGTCCCAGATGATGAATCGTCCTCGGAGGGTTTTTCTCGGGTTTGTTTGGATTCTCTCCGTCCTCCCTAAAATGCTTTTCAGTGTGTTATTTACAGCAGTGGTGCACAATATATGCTGCGCTGAACGTAAAGCACTTCTCCATTGCCATGTCTTTCTTCTCTCTATCTCCAGGCCTCTCTTTTTTCACTGTGAGGCAGAGGAATGTTAATCCACGTTACTTAACAGGATGGATTTGCTATAACTTCCTCAAATGGACTTTCATGATTAAATATGGAGTGGAGGAGAGCTAAGCCCCAGCTTCTGCAGCCAATCCATATCTAGAAATATTAAAGTGAAAATGTACAGGCCAAATCTACCCTGATTAAATACAATTTCATATGCTAATACTGATATTCAGGCAGTGAAACTGATTTGCTTGGCCATGAAGCTAGAAATCTACTGAACAGTCACTGTCTCTGTCCCTCGGAGATGATCTGCAGGTGCCGTTCGTGACTTTTTCTCCACATCCAAATAATCGTAGCTTCAGCCTCAAACGTTAAAGCACAAGATAATGACTCCCATTAAGTTGTTCTTCAGTCGGATCCACAAACTTTACCTTGTACTCACCGCTAACGACGCAGCTCCAGGATTTGTTTGTACAGGACGACAGTGGGAGTCCTGTGTCTCTTCTGCAGGGGAGTGCGACACCCTGTGATCAGTGGATTTAGCTGGGCTCTCTACTGAGGAGGCCACTGAGCAAACGAGCAGTGAGCAGTAAGGTGAAAGGCGCGGCTGTCTCATCTGGTGCTGTCTGGTTTACTGGTCTGTCTGGAAGCAGACAGTCAAGAGGTCAGAGGTCACTGAGCCGTCAATGCAGCGTTTCTAGGAACAATCGGGGGCTTCCCCCGCACGGCCACAGCAAGGGAATTAAGGACGGAGGACAGAACCCACATGTGCACATTGTAAAGGGATTTTAAAGAAACTTGACTGGCTTACTAAGTGCAGTTGAAAACACATGCATGTTAATTTGCTAAACCCAATCAAACACAGCAGTCTGTCTACATTTAGTTTTTACCCATGTTGGTTTATACGTCAGCAAGATTATGCAAAAACCACTAAACAGATTTCCACCAAGCTCTGAGGAGGGAGGAGGCGGGGAATTGGCTGTTCGCTCGGCCTGTGGCGATGCTTGTTGCAGCTTTTCTTTCTGAAACTGTAAAGTAAAGACCGGTGGTGGGACTCAGTCCACAGAACGCTGAAGCATCTCCCCCACAAAGAGCTGTTCACCTGTTTATTCAAAGGTTGATGAAGCTCAACTCAGTACGCAGAACCCTGAAGAGGAGAATCAGTTGTTGTGATCGACAATTTACGATGATGAGTCCTAAACGCTTCAGCTCCAGAGCAGGGATGTTTAATGCAGATTGTTCGGCCTTGGCGACAGTATGATTCCTACTGAGTGTCATTCTGGTTTAAGAAAGTGATCAGATCAAGGCAGAGGGTCAGGCGATCTAAACAAGAATGGAATCTCAAATTTAATCCAGGTTTTGCATCATGGAAATCGGATTTTGAATGATCAGATCATCAGATTACCACAGTGCGAGTAAAGGCACCTTTTAAATGAGATGTTAGCTGCTCAAGTTCCAGCATGGTTTTAAAATAGTCACTGTCAATCCATCTCCTAACGTTTTGCTCTTGAGCAGCAAAGTAATAGTCCGTGACATGTTCATAAAAATAATTTGACAACAGTGTTTTCCCGCTACATAAACTGTAGATGTTTCTGAATGTGGGGCATTCACCTCTGCACATAAAAGGTCCTGTGCAGGGCAGCGACTATGTGAAATGTGTTTAGAGTTGCGTTTAGCCTTTTAATAACACTCAGGGAGGCTATAAATCACGTTGGGTGGAACTGCCGTGGTATAGTTTTCAACAGGACACACTGTTGACAGTACAGGCACTTCACCCCTGGAAAAAAACGCTCTCCTCCGTCCGACAGGCCGAGTGTGTAGGAGCTTGTCCTGCTCCGCCGGCTCCTGAGATGTCTATCTGTGCTGTTATACGTCTTCTGGCATTTTCTCCGACTCGTATTAAGGGAGCAATTTACAAGGAGGTGAAAGAGATGTCAAAGTTAATGGCTGCACGTTGTGCGTGTGCATTTATTCAAATCAGCCACACCCTTTGGTGAGTCTGCTCAGTGTGTGTCATCGTCGCAGCACTGCTATATTTTCTCCTTTTATGTGTGACTATATTGGGTTTATTGATAGTTTATCCAGATGCTCTGGGAAATGTTGGGCTCCGTCATGGTCTGAGTGGTACATCTCTTTCAGATAGACGAGTCCGCCGTGTCTAAAACTCAACTCCCACTCTGCTCCGTGCACCAACTCAGCCGTCAAGTGTTGTGCATCCCTAAAAGCTTTTGGCAGATGCAGAAGAATGTGGCAGGAACTGTATGTGTGAAACAGATGTATGGTCTTTTTTTTTTCTGGGAGCAGGGGGCTGATTTTTATTTTTTTGTTTTGGAGACAGTTCGCCTCCATTTTGAGCGTGCAGAATGAGAAGAAAGTCACAGGCATTAATTGAATCAGGGAAGGGTCATAAATCATACGCCTCGACTCTGTTTTATGTTACTAATTTGAAACATTGGTGTCCAAACCACATTGTGCTCCAGCAATTACCTACTTCCCATTTGTTATTAAGCACACGTGTATGCCAAGGCTCAGGGTGCCTCAGTGTTGCCATAGGGCAAAGCTGTTGGATGAATACTGCACACTAATTGTTTAACTGATGTAGGGTCAGTGGGTGATTTGCTTTTAAATGATTAAAAGTATCAATTAACTGATTTTAAGTACTTTTTAAAATGTGACTTCTGTTGATTACGTCTCCCAGGGACTTTGTCTGTGGAATGATTTCTAGGTCACTTGGTGAAAGCAGCATTGGTCACAGAGGAATCCACGAAAGAATTTAACCATAGACTGGAGAAGAACTCATCACATGTTTGTGTGGATCCAGGAGTTTATTTATTTTGCTGGATCTTGATGAAAACAATCAGGCATATTTAAGGAGGGGGACATCTGTGAGTGTGTGAAATCTGCTGCAGCTCGATTGGATTCAAGGGGACTTGAAGGGGTATGAGTGTCATTTCAGTTGGTTTTGTTTGTCAGCAGGATCGTACAAAAACTACTCAGCAGATTTCCACAAAACTTGGTGGAAGAATGAGAAATGGGCCAAGTAAGAACCCATTAAAGTTTGCCTCTGATTCAGACAAAGTTGCGGATACAGAATCTTTTGATTACATTCTTAAATGCTGAGAGCTATGACGTTACCTTTTTGTCATTTTTCCAGATTTCCTAGGGAGTCATTTTATGTATCTTGATTAAAAAAAGGCACTTGTAGTGGACTGATATCTGTGTGTGTGTGTGAAATTTGGTGCAGATCCAAATAAAAAACGTGGAGGTATGCGCTCTCTGGATGCCGTTTCTGTTTTTTTGTTCTCATGATGATAGTTTCATCTGCTTCTCTGATGACTACAGAATTCACAAAATATGTAGTTTACTCATGATGTGAGGTGACAGAAAACGCTACAGTTGTTTTCCATTGCGCCGCTGGCTGGCATGCCTTGATAATATGTTGTCAATGCTCGGTCGACGAAAGAATTTAGGAAGATGCTTGATTTCGGTTTTCCTTCTTTGCGGACCGACTCTCTGCCAAGTCACAAAACGTCTTTCTGTGAATGAGGAGTGTAAATTTCCTGCCTCTGCGAAATATTCTTTGGGAAAAAAAATGCTCTTATTTCTACAAATCCGTCTCTGAGGAGAACGCTTGTTTCCTCGCGGTCAGAGTTCCTGGGAGAGGCAACGTTTAATCAAAAGCTAAACACAGTTCACTCAGATCCTCGTCGCAGACGTTTGATAAAGTTTCTGCCACTACAAGCTGTAGCCAAGCGTGAAAACCTTTTTCCTGCAATTTACTGTCTGCACAGGAGGTCGGTGGGTTAGTGAGAGAAAAACCTCTGCAGGGTTCAGAGACATGCAGCAGTGGATTAAGAGACGGAACAAAAAACATTGGTTCAGGTTTCAGAGATGCAGCAGCATGTGTAGATGACAGTGTGGCATTTTGATGATTTTTAAAAAGAGTCTGGAGTGAGTAAGGAAATAAGCTGTGTCAAGGTAGCAATAATTTTATTTTACAAGTGTACGCTACAAAAA